AAAAGCGACACCGAGGCGTATCAGCGCAAAGCAAGAGAGTGGACAGCCAGATACGCAAAGCCAGTCAAGGATGATCGAGATGAAGACGAGACCGGGCCGCTGCACGCGCCGCAAACGCCCGAGGGAGCAGAAAGCCGGTGCCGAAGATGCGCAGCCTGGGCTGAAGCGCAAGCCAGCGTCCCGGCACCCGCAAATACCCAGGCTGGTGTGACGAGACCGGATGGTTCTGGCAGCCAGTTCGAGAAGCCTCTGCCAGGAGCACCGGCAGCATCGGTCTCGCCGATCAGCAGCTCGGTAAGCCGACGGCTCGGCCTTAGTCGCAGCCGAAATGCACCACCAGCGAAATCCCGTGCACAGCAACAGCAATCACCCGGCCTGGGCCGCGTGTCCTTGGCATCGTCACAGGAGGAGCCCGGGTCGTTGAGGCGCGGAAGCAGCAGTCAGGGCAGCGCCTTGTCATCATCAGCGGCCTCGTCGCGGAAGGCGAGCGGCGGTGCCAAGCTGTCTGATCTGCTAGGGAAAACCAGCCTGTCAAAGAGCCGCAATACGCGACGCAATCTGCAACCCTTTCACGGTTCACAGGCATTGGCGACTTCAGACGGGCGCAGCTCCAAAGGCAAGGGCGGTGCAGAAAAAAGCCCTGTCCGTTGGCGATGGCAGTAGCAATGGCAAGCGCAAGCGGCGAGAGTCCTGGAGCCCGAGTCCGATGAGTCATCGCAGCCAGCAGCACAGTTTCTGGCCGAGGAGAGCGATATTGCAGCGAAGAGCTCTTGGCCTGGGAGGCACGATAACACCAATCTCGACTTTGAATGTCTGCTAAGCCCTGGCGAAGATACGACCAGCTCTCAGTCAGCATTGTCCCGAGCTCGCGCGATGACAGCGAGCAAGGGCCATCAGTCCACCAGTGCCAATTGCCAGCAATGACGCTGCAGGGACTGTGTTCAGAAGGCGAAGCTACATCCCAGCCAGCACTGCCAGCCGGGCAGGATAGAAAGGGCAAGGGCAAGGCTCCGGATCACTGTCCCCAGCAGCAGCAGCAGCAGCAGCAGCAGCAGCAGCAGCAGCAGCGGAATACTGAGGCTGTGGAGGTTCTGAACGAATCCACTTTGGTCCACTAGATCTGGGACTCCCACCGATCCACGTCAGTGCGCAGCGCAAGCTCATGAGAAGGCGCCATCGCCAGTAAATTCACATTTGTAAGCAAGGAGCAGGGCTGAACCCCGTCCGTGTGAACATTGGCTGGCTGGCTGCTCGGACTTGACATTAACCGGTCATGCCAAAGAGCACAAAATCCGTTAATAGCGATCGTCACTTGGTCTTTTATTTGCCCAACTTTTCTCTAATCCCCTCTGGCAGTGCGGCTTTCTCTTGCTTCTCCATTCCTCCTCATTTTCGCTCACTCTTGGATAAACGCGGTTCTTCTATACCTGTACTATACGCCGATAAACAAGTCTCTGCTTGTCATTGTTTTGTTATTATTGTTGCGATTCGCCCCGTAGAGAGAGCTGCTTGCTACTACCTGCAATTAATCGAATCCAGGGCCACCAGGAACCAGGCCAGATAAAACTAGGAAACCCATCTGGGAGCAGCCTATTCCAGGGACAAAGAGGCCGGTTCAAAACAACCATTGGCACAAAGGAGATCCAAATACTGAACTGCTATGGCACGGAGCGACGGATATATCCCTATTGCCGGCTCAGCAGCCGAAACACACCAAGGTTTGTATTCCATGGCAACCCGGGCAAGATTACGCGATGGCTCCCTTCGCCATTGCCAACTGGATTCACCCTGTCGCCATCTCGGGGCAGCCCATGCATGTTGGTCGCAAGCCGGCACGCCATGTTGCACAGATATTGGCTCATCGGACACATGCATGGCGACAGCAGGGAGCCGTTTCTATCTTTGGAAAGATGGAGTATGTCGATTGCAAATATGCCCACCACTCTCGCCTCATATGAAGGGAGTCGCCGGTTGTCGATCGCCATTGCAAGCTGCATTCGTTGTGTGATGAAAGGATGGGCCAAGGTGTAGGCTTGTGTCCCCCCTAGGTTGCACTGCAGCTGTCCCTCTCCCACCCCCACCATCCGCGAATGGCCAATGCATGGCGTAGAGGAACAGCTAATTGTATGGCGGGAGGGATGGCGGGGACGGTTGGGAGTATATATAATGGCCATTACTGCCTTGGCCTTCCGGGATGCCATCCCCGTCCAGTCCTGTTATTTTCTCTCCACGCATATTAATACTGGTCTCCACCGGCATCTCCTTCGCCCTTCTCTGACCACACAACATTCTTACATCCACTTAAGCGGGCTCCCACCATTCCGTCTGCTTGATTCCGTCCCCCCACCATGAAAGCAGAGGTCTCCGAATCCATCGAGCCCCAAGCACCCGGTGGCACCTGGGCAAAGGTCAAGCGACTGCAGGCTAACATTGTTGGCAATGTAGATCCCGAAGGCGCGCAGCAGAATGCAGACAGACACCGCTATCGCACGGTCGACGAGTCGCAAGTACACTTTACGTGGCGAGCCGTGGCAGTCGGGCTTGTGTTTGGCACAATCCTGTGCTTCTCCAACATGTATTTCGGGCTGCAGACGGGCTGGATCTCGATGATGAGCCTGCAGTCGTCGCTGGTCGGCTTTGCAGTCTTCAAGGCGCTGGACAAGGTCCTGGACGTCAAATTCGGGCCTGCCGAGAACGTGGTTCTGCAAACCACAGCTGTTGCTACGGCCACGATGCCGCTGGCGGCTGGATTCGTGGGGATTTTGCCGGCGATCAAGCAGCTGGATCCAGACGAGACGCATGGCGCACAAACCGAGCTCAGCTACGGCCAATTGTGCGCGTGGGGACTGGCGCTGACCTTCTTTGGCGTGTTCTTTGCAGTGCCGCTACGCAAGCAAACGATTATTCGCGAGAAGCTCCGGTTCCCATCGGGCACTGCGACAGCACAAATGATCAGTGTTCTGCACAATCGCCCGGATCCGACTTTTGAGGAAGAGAATGGGCGGCGGGCGCTGCCGGAAGGCCATGGCCGCGGATTCATTGAGACTGAGAGCCAGCTGCGCAACCGCCGCAGCAACAATCAGACCGCCGGTTCACCTGAGACCGCCAATGATGAGCCCGAGGAGCCAGCAACGCTAAACAAGGTGGTGGTTGATGTCAAATGGGTGATCAAGCTGCTGGTTCTGCTGGTCTCGTTCCTGCTGTCTGGCGCCTATACGCTGATTGCTCATTTTTATCCGATCCTGGCCGCCCTGCCCGTGTTTGGCAAAACGCTAAAGAGCAAATGGCTGTGGACGCTGACGCCCTCCCTCAGCTATGCCGGCCAGGGGATCATTATGGGCCTGCCGACGTGCATCTGGATGTTGGTCGGCGCCCTGGTCGGCTGGGGCGTTTTGTCGCCGATTGCCAAGACCGAAGGATGGGCGCCCGGACCGGTCGGTGACTGGAAGAACGGCAGCCGCGGGTGGATTTTGTGGGTATCGCTGGCGGTCATGATCGCTGAGAGCGTGGTCTCCCTAAGCCTCATTACGTGGAAGGAATGCAGACGCTGGGCCCAGCATTTCCAGCAAGCAATGGGCCGCAGGCGCGAGCGCAGGCGGTTGCTTGACGAGACTGTGGGCGGAGATGAGCAGCCGAATGGAAGCCAGTCGCCGAGAAACAGCTACGGCGTGGCAGACGAAGGCAGCCAGCAGATGACCCCAGAGCAGAATGACCAAGCGCAGACGTTCAAGCCGATGACCATGATGTCTACAGATAGCCCACAGCCCGGCGATGATGCCGATGATGAGGACGTCGACCCACGGTACCTGGTGCCCGGGTGGGTTGTCTGGGGCGGCCTTTTGGCGTCGACTCTGCTGTGCATGGGCATTGTCAAGGCAATCTTCAACATTCCGATGTACGATACGCTGATTGCTGTCCTTTTGGCGCTGCCCTTGGCTGTGCTCGGTGTGCGCGCACTGGGCGAGACCGACCTGAACCCGGTCTCGGGGATTGGCAAGGTCTCGCAGGTTATCTTTGCCGGCGTCATGCCCGGAAACATTATTGGCAACCTGGTGGCTGGTGGAATCGCCGAGGCAGGCGCTCAGCAGGCCGGCGATCTGATGCAGGATCTGAAGACCGGGCATCTGCTGCATGCATCGCCGCGAGCGCAGTTTGTTGCCCAGATGATCGGCAGCGTGTTCAGTGTGTTTGTTTCCGCCGGCGCTTACAAGCTCTACAACCGCGTCTACGAGATCCCCGGCCCGCAGTTCCCGGTCCCCACCGGCCAGGTATGGCTAGACATGGCACGCCTAGTCAATGGCCGCCCACTGCCGCCGCACGTCTGGCCGTTCATTGCTGTGTTCTCTGCAATCTTTGTTGTGCTGCCCATTCTGCTATTGCTGATTACAAAGTCGGGCAAAAGATCGTGGCAGATCGGACGCTTTACTGTCAGCACCCTGACTGTTGAGCGGTGGTGGCCCAGCGGAATAGCCTTTGCCATCGGTATTTACAACACCCCGAACTTCACGCTTATGCGCGCGATTGGCGCAATTGCGGCTGCAGCGGTCACCGAGTTTTTGGTTGCACGCAATCGTCGCTCACATGCACTTAGTGCGGCGGAGGAGCAGCTGTACCGCAGGAAGATTGGAATGCTGGTTATTATTCTGGCCAGCGGGTTTGTGCTCGGCGAGGGCACTTTCTCGTTCGGAATCCTTCTCTTTGAGGCCTTCCTTTAATAGATGGGTGAGCAATGCCCAAATAGCCTTGTTTATAAACAGCATCCAAACCATCCAACGCACAAAAAGCTGTGTTTGTATGCGTGTTTGTGGCGAGGCATACTGATCTGGACTTTCCCTATGCCAAATGGCATGTTTATATGGTGTTGTCGTATATTGCAAATACTGTGGGTACCGGCAAGCCCGTTTATGGCAATGTACTTAAGCCAATGCCTCTTCTAACTGTACATTGCCTAGAAGCGCTAGCCGCACTTTCTTGTCCACAGATTCACGCCGAATAAACCCATGATCCTCTTTAAACCACGTCACTGTACCCTGCTAGCACTGGCTGTCCTGGCTGCTGCTGCGTCCGCCGCCTACAGCTCAACCTGTGCTAATAACGTTGTTACCTACTGGGGCCAGAACAGCTGGGGTGGCAGCCACCTCAACGACCCCGACCACTGGGAACAGGACCTCGCCAAGTACTGCCAAGGCGACACCTTCGACATTATCAACCTCTCCTTTGTCACAAACTACAACACTTCAGGCCTCCCAGTCCTCAACCACGCCGGCCACTGCGAGACTAAATTCAACGGCACAAACACCCTGACATGCCCGGATATTGGTGCCGACATCAAGACATGCCAGGCCAAGGGCATAAAGATTGTGCTCTCGCTGGGCGGCAGCGGCATCTACTCTTACGGCCTGGCAAGCGATGCTGATGGCAAGACGTTTGCAGACACTATCTGGAACATGTTCCTTGGCGGATCGCACGACTACAGGCCATACGGCAATGCTGTGCTCGACGGAATTGATCTTGATATCGAGTCAGGCGACCACACCGGGTATGCTGGATTCATTTCGCAGCTGCGCACCCACTTTGCCAGCGCCTCGAAGCAGTATGTCATCTCGGCAGCTCCGCAGTGTGTCTACCCAGACTACAACCTGGATTCAACTCTGCGGAACGCCTGGATCGACAACAACTACGTACAATTCTACAACAACCCGTGCAACCTGGCCAACATCGACAACCAGTGGAACTTTGACTACAAGAGCTGGGACACACTGGCGAAGAAGAACCCAAACCCCGACTCCAAGGTGTACATCGGCCTGCCCGCCGGACCGGCTGCTGCTGGCAACGGATATCTGAAGCTATCGACACTCAAGACTGATATCACGCAGCTGTACTCGAACTACTCGTCAACTTTTGGTGGGATCATGCTCTGGGACGCATCTTGGTACTCGAACAACAGAGAATATGTGCAGGAGCTCGCTACCTGGGTCAAGACCAGCATGAACTGTGGTGCCAGTGCCTCAACACCAGCTTCTTCAGCAGTGGCCCCTTCATAGGGAACAGGCTCAGGCACTAGCTCAACACCAGAGGAAATGCCTTCCCAGTAGCCATGAAAAGCATTTTCTATTTTTGGACGCTGCTGTGTAGGAGTTATCAAAATCAATTCACATTGAGGAGATGCCAAAACCTTCAAATATCCATGACTAGTCTGACCAGTGACGGGATCCGGCTTGCTATCTGAGTGATCCCAGCACAGGCAGCGGCACGAACAGCAGTGACCTCGAGGGACTGTAGCATGGTATCTAAAGGAACCAGGCACTGACTTTTCTTCGGCCCAGTAGTGCTGTCGTGAACGCATACGCACAGCACCTGCAGTTCAGTCAGCTCGGACAGTATTTCTAGGATTTGGTTCACTGGGAACGACGCTCGAGCAATCTTTAACCGGCGAAGGCGCTTACACCTAATACGGCCAGGAACTGACACAACCTGCATATGCGCAAACGACACCTCGAGACTTGTCAGATGCGGATTCGACGACAGGATCCAGTTCAGGAACTCAGCAGGGTTGTATGGGTAGCGGTCCGAATAGCCGCTGCGCAGAGCGACATTCAGTTGGCGCAACGAGGCAAATGGCATGATGTCGAACTGCATGCTGCGTTCCGAGTAGCTGATTTCCAGCCTGAAGATAGGTGCGGGCGCGAAGAGCAGCAAGAAATCGGTGAACTCGTACTCTGATGGATCGAGGACCAGTGTCTGCAGGTTCGGAAACAGCGGTGCGCGGAATTCGTCGCCGCAGTTGATTGCCTGGTGTGACGAAATCCAGCGAAAGTGCAGCCGCAGGTCCTTCAGATTCTGGAACTCGACACGCTCCCTGGTCCCTGTCATTGCGAATAGACGGCTCAGCCCAATTGATGGGTGCAGGTTGTGCAAATCAAGAGATACCAGCGACGCAGCCACCAGCTTTGTCAACTGGCTGGCTTGCCCCCTGTCCATTAATGGCTGGCACAACACCAGTCGCGATAACTCCGCTTGGTGTGCAATACGACAGCCCCAGATGTGGTGTGCTGTGCCGCGCATATGCGGCTGTGCCAGGACCAAATTTGGAAACACGCTCTGCACTCCAATGCTCGAGATATCTGTCAGGTTTGGCAAAACTGTACCCAGATACCGCTGAAGTTCCAGATCGGACACTGCCAATCCAGCCGACTCTAGTCGGCTGTTCGCGTCGCACCCGTAGAGCGTGCATATCTTTACTGATGGCCATGGGCGACTACCCAGCCCCGCTTCCTCCAGTTCCTCGCACAGGCGCTCAATGTTGGATCGAATCTTTACCAGCACACGGCTGGGGGCAACCCCTTTACCATGGTACTCTGCCAGCAAGGGCAGGTTGGTGCGTGACCTCTCTCTTAGAGACAGATCTATACAGATGGCTGTGCCGAAGACTGGCAACATATGCTCCCGCAAAAGGTGAGATGCTGCCAAGCACTGTGTTAGCTGGCGAACTCCCTCGATTGGGTCACTGTGGTACTGCTTGTCGAGAGACTCCAGAAGCCTGGAAACGATTAAGCGCAGTATGTCGCTGCTGCAAAGGTGCAGGTAGTTTGAAGGAACCATGGCATAACCTGTATAAAGAAAGTGTATAAAAGCCAGACAAGCAAAGGTATAGGGAAGGAGCAAAAGATATAGGGCGGGACCATAAATAGTCAGGAGAGAGGGAGAAGGGGAAGAATGAGCAAATGTCCATTTGCCGTGGTGGCCTATGACTCCTTCGTCTTATCTGTTCTGCACGACAGGAGCAAACCATGCAGACGGAACACAAGGAACTACCAGCCTTCGCGGAGATTTAAATATTTTAGGAGCTCTGCTCTGTCAGCACAGGAAGGTCCGGGACGCACCACCAGGAGGATCACGCAGACCGGCATGGGAAAATGCGAATAGGTAGCTATGTAGCATGTTCAACGCTGGTGCTGGAGCGAGGCTAAGAGCCAGCACACTCTGGACTGTGTAGCTCACCAATGGCTGAGCCTCTATTTGGCAGCGTGCTGCTTTGTGAGTGCTACATCTACACACGCCCTTGTAGCTGCCTGAGTCTCACTAGCAGTGGATTCATGGCAGAGGTATGTTCTAAAGTGAAGCTGCCCGCATCACTCGGCTCAAGAATTCTGTAATCTACTGGAATATTACTTTGTACAAGACGTTGACATGTACGTATGGCACCGACTACCCCAAGCATGTCAAGTGCAGAATATCGTTGGACTCGGGTATGAGTGCAAACGCCGACGACCCCAGCAGCTTGCCACACTTTGCACATGTCTGCGTATAGTCCAGCACAACTGGGCCATGATTCTTGCTACTCTCCATGGCCTCAACCCTCGACTGGAACTCAAGCGACTGGCGCACACTGCGCTCGACTTTGCTCGTCTGTGCACCATGCGCCAGCTTCTGGAACTTGCTCACAACAAATTTCTCGATAACCGAAAACTGCCAGCTATCAGGCACCTGTTCCAGAACATTCATGTCCACGAACTGGCCGTACCTTGCCAGCAGTCCAGAAACGAGGCGGGCCGCTGTTTCGTCGTCTGCTTCGCCCAACGCAATATACATGTTGACTAGCTTGCGCACGTTATCAGGATCCACGCTAGTGCCCAGTGCTAGTGTGCGCAGCTCGTCAGCGATGCTGGTAGCTGTCTGCTGGTGGAGCAGCCAGTATCCATCTTGATCGCCATCGGAATCCTCGCCTAAATCCCTGTGCGCCTGGCACATCTGCGCCAGTGATTTCTGCAACGACGGACGCAGGAGCAGTATCTCAGCCTCAGCATAGTCCTGAAGCTCTTTGACCAAAACATCGATGGCCTCGTTTGTGCGATCCAAGATCACCAGCAAGACCGCTCGCTCAGCCAGCAACAACGGCTTGGCTTCCTGCTCAACGCAGTCGAGAACCTCGCCTGGGTCGTACGACAGCGGTCGGGCACACAGGATGGCTAGCAATTGTGACCGCAAGCTGGTGCCAGCATCCTGGTTGCAGACGGACTCGAGATATGCACGGAATGTCAGCGACAGATCATCGGCTTGCGCGCAGCGGTAGTCATCCATCAGCTGCTTCAGGCTGTGCCTTGCCTCCTCCCCATCGCCCAGGTAGAAATCGCGCAGCTGGCGCACATACACCTTGACTAGATACGTCATATAGTGCTTGGCCCTCGCATGCTTGGCACCAATCAGCCGCTCAATGAAAGCGCGCAGCGGCTCGTCCCCGTATGGCTCGATTTCCTTGATGACCTTGTCGGCATCAATGGACGCAACCGACTCGTCCGTCAGGTACATCAAGACCTGTAGCGACGTGCCGATATCGAAGCTGACCAGCCAGTAGTACTCGTCAAGCAGAACACGCTGGTTGTTGACCACCTGGATATACTCCAGATACTCGGCCAGCCCACCGAACTGCTCATCCTCCCATTCACCAGTAAGCAGTTTCCGCCATACATCCAGGACGCCCTGTGTGTCCCTACGCGCCTTCTTGAACAGGCTGCAGTAGTAATACCGATGTGTCTGCAGAAAATAGTCGCGAGCAAAGTCCTCGACAATGTTATTGTCAGATGCCATGATCATAGAGCTCAGTTTGTCGTGCTGCGAGCTCTCGGCATATATCCGTACTAGCACGGTGTCAATAACGGGGACGGAGTCGGGCGCAAATGGTTGCTCGGGTAGCGACATCTGAAGGCGGGCGTACTCAAGGTACCGCTCCAGCATCTCTCGAGCATTGTCCTTCAGGGTCTGCTTCAACAGTTCTAGCTGGTCCTCGCTCTCACCAGCCATCTGTCGCGCGCCGACTTCGACTAGCCTGTCGACATCACCGATCGCATAGAACACATCGCGTAGGCCAGCGGCCATCGGGATTCGGCCAAATGGAATCAGCAATGCCCCTAGATAGTCAGCATACTCGGGAAACAGATGCAATAAAGCGCGCGGATCCAGGCTCCCGCGACGGAAGTGTTGCAGGGCGTCATCCAGAAGCATATTCTTCAAACAGACTGCGCCGGCTTTCTGGAAGCAGTATGCAACTTCGTCCATCTTTGCGTTAAGCGAGGTATCAGACGCTAGCGCCTTGTCGGCCAGCAACAATGCTGCCTCGACCTTTTGCTCGTCCAGCAGCCTGTCCACGCGCACCAGTTCCGGCAAGTTGGCCAGTGTATATACGGAATCCTGTGCACACACCAGTATTGTTGCATTGGTGAACCGACTCAGCGCCTTTCCCGCGGTTCCATGTGCTGCCGACACGCTGTTATCACCCAGCATCTCGCGGTCCATATGCTGCGACTGCGCCAGTGCTGCGGTCCAAGGCTTTGTGTCCATCTCGCTTTCCGAGTGTTTATGCTCAGCTCGGAACAAACTGCTGGCATCAAGATCAGGCGACGTCACTCGCACCCCAGCTGCCGAGCCATCGATGACCTCAGCCCGCGAGACATTGGTGCACAGCAGCGTGCTTGCCACAGTGCAGACCTTGCGTGGCCGACTGCTGTTTGGAATGTCGCTCTCGGGCTCCGCAAACAGCTTCTGTGTCAGTGTCTGCTCTTGCCGCCGCGTGTCATATACCTCGATCACACCGTTGCCGAATATCGCAATCACATTCGGATCGTCGTATATGATGGATTTCGGGTATGTGGTAAACTGCAGGGTTCCCCGCAGTGCCTCGCCCATGGCTGTAATAATGACACCCAACGTCGTCTCATCCCCAGACGATGTCAGGAACATGAACTCGTTGGGACCAACCACCAGCGTACGCGGCCGAGGTGGACGCACAATCTTCCCTGTCTTCTCGTCCTTGTACGGCTGTGTTGTAGGCAAGAGCACCAGCTGCCCATTCTCCACCGATGTGGCTCGGATTTTGGCCAAGTCCAGAATTTTGTATGTCTCTGTATCCGCCAGGCACACATAGTTTCCATACTGGCATATGCTGGCTACGCTGCTATCTATCCCTACCTCCTGCTCCAGTCTGAGCTCTGCTGCCATACGGTACATCTGAATGCTGCGCATCCTCGCCACGCACAGAATCACCGTC